GGAAACATAAATGTGTGTGTGTGTGTGTGTAAATTTGTTTCTTAGGAACGTAAAAAGGCATCTGAAACTTTAAATAATTCACGGGGAGTAAGTATTGAAAAATTGCAGCGTGTATATTATCAAACAAAAATTTTCAGAGCATCAAATTGCATGAACAAGTTTATTACTACACCTCTTCTGTTTCATACGAATTTATTTATTTATTCATTAAAAAGACACATGCATACCTAGACACACATATACACACATATTTTTTGCGCACATCCAATTTTGTTGGCTGGCTGAGATCTTTGCCCAATACGTCGGTGGGTACCAGATTGGACGACGAAACGGTCAGGACAGCCATTGGCTTCCGTGTGGGGCTGGCCGTTCAGAGTCGATACACATGCAAGTGCAGCGCGGAGGCGGATGAACTCGGCCATCATGGTCTTGTTTGTCGTTTGGGTGGAGGTCGCCAGCAGCGACATTCAGCCATAAACGATTTTGTGTGCCGGCTTTTTTCCAAGGCCTCTATTCCGGTTTTAAAGGAACCGTCGGGCATTGCGGCGCACGACGGTAAGCGCCCTGACGGGTGTACCTTGATTCCTTGGAGAGCCGGCAGGTGCTTGGCATGGGACGTTACCGTTCCGGGCACCTTTGCTGAGCTCTTCGTGCAGCTTACTAGCAAAGAAAGCGGTTTGGCTGCAACCAGGGCATCTGACGAGAAGATCAAGAAGTATGACGGAGCTCTCCCCTCGATGGAGTTTTTACCGATTTGTATCGAGGTCCTCGGCCCCATGGACCGTAACACCTCCGGGTTTTTCAATCGGATTTGTAAAAATATCAGTATTAGGTCAGGCGATAGTAGGAAATATTTTTTCGCTATGAATAATATCTTGTGCATTCTGCAGCGGTTTTTGCGCGTCTGAGTGACGTTATAGCAAATAAAATCAAATTTAGTCAGACGCTTGGCTTTTGGTGTCATTCGTCAATGATTTGGTTTTAACATATACAACTACTCACACACATACACATCTACAAACACACATACGCACAAACACATACACATCTACTCACACACACTTACAACTACTCATACATACACACACACACACACACACACACACACACACAAACAAACATCTACAAATAAACACTAGCATAGACGGAGCACAAGTCTGCTACTGTTTGCATCGTTTCCTAAATACCGCGCCAAATCATTTCGTATATCTCTTCGGTCGTTGTTTTGTTAAAAAAAGTGAATGAAGTGATGCAAAAATGGCCCGTGGAACATATGTTAGAGTTTATTCCATAGTTCCTTCATTAAATGCCATAAGTTTATTCAATTGTAAAACATGAATTGAATTTAAAAAACTGGAGTGAATTTTATGCCGGCCTATGTCCATGCTTATGAAGAGTATTTTGTTGATAATTCAATTACAAGCGAAGCAGCGGATCGACGTATGAGGGCCACTCATCATTTATTCATTCATCGTCAAAAATCTGGCATTCCACAGTACCATACCTGACAGAAAATTGAATTTTTATAACTCAATAAACGTGCGTGAGTATGAAAGGAAGTTTGCGCCTGTGTGTGTGTGTACGTGTGTGTGTGTACGTGTTTGTCTGTTTTTTATATCTAAAAATAGAAAAATTCTTAGGTTGAAGCTGTGTGGGAGTTTATTCATTGTGGCCAATTTTTTCAACAAATGTATGTATGTATTTTGGTATATATAGATGTATATATAGATGTATGTATATATATATATATATATATATATATATATATATATATATGTTGGTAATATATATATGTGTGTGCAGAGTCTAATCATTTCTCCGATAATTATGATGATAAGTGGAGTGAAATTTCCATAGTTGGAAAAATTTGTTCATTGCTACAACTTCTCATTATTGCAACAACTCATTGTGCTTGATGCATTAAATAAAACTACGGTTCCAAAAATGTAAATAAAGGACTTGAAACACAAAAACATTTAAAATAAAACTCCACAATAACAATTTCTTTTTAGGTACAACTCCATTTGTTTCCGAAGCAAGGAGAACTGCGTCACATAATAATTTGTCGTACCTTTCCATAAAGACAATTACTTAGAACATCACTCTTTATTTTACATAGAACTGCTACATAATGTGCGCCTATGAAATTATTATATTTTAAATGATATTTTTCTAGCGGCGAGCAATTAACACCGCTGCATCAGGAGTCTAATGACATTCGAGCACGTCTGAGAAACATTTCCACTCTTTCTCCATCTACCCACCTGCTTCTCTGCAAACACGAAATACAAGGTCTAATGGAGTCTACATGCATCAACATTGCTAAACTAATTAAACATTCTAAAGCATTGTCAAAGTTTTATAAAATTGTCGACAGTTGAAAACGTCTGTATGCTGTTAGAAGGACATGTAGCAAAAACGACTGAATGTTGTTTGACAGTCTAAAAACTAATTTGACACTCGTCCACCATGAAATGTGCATACACGAACATACGCACACATATGGATACACATACATACATAAAAAAAATAAACAAACAATTATGCACACATGAATGCATGTATAATTACAACCTACATTAGTATTAATCAGTAAATTGGAAAAATGGTTTAGTCTTTCAAAGAAGTTACATTATTTTAAAGTTAATCATTTAAATTCATTTGTATCCAACTCTTCTGTTTCTTCTAATTTGAGAACATCGACGTTTCAAAGTGTTAGTCCACTTTTTACTTGATGTTTGACTGTTCAGTGTCATTCATCATGTTTTGGCTTTAACATACATACAAGCATACAAGCATACATAATAAATATACACGTACACGCACACATAAAAAAAACAAATATGCATATACAAATGAATAATTAGGTGAATTACACAAGACTAATGATTGGGTCGTATGTCAGGGAAGAAAATATAACTCTGCCTCCACCAACCACAGCTTGCACAACTCAACATCGCCAACGAGTATTTCCTTTCTTTGTATATGTTTGTATAAACGTATAGTACGCATGTATTTGTATTTTTTAAACAACTGTTCTTATAATAGGTTTTGTATCATTTGTATACTACGTGTATATGTAGCTTTAATACGTATGTTTGTGTGCGTGTGTGTGTATTGTATTTATGTGTAACGTTATTATGGTGGATTTATTTTTACAATATAATTTCTCACTGTTGCCACTGGCACGATTACGATGCAATGTCAACATTCGAACTGCAGTTTTCAAGGAAAGAATTTTTTTTTTTATTTTAATTTTCAAAAGATTTTTCGACAAAAAAATCTTTTTTACATTTGTTGGATTCACTGATCACAAACCTATTTAGATCTTCTTATAAGTATTCACATATAAATTATGAATTATGAAACATACATACATATATGTACACACACACACAAACACACGCACACACAAACACACACACACGCACATACATTGTACGTGCATAACTGCATATTTACGGGGAACTCTTGGCAACATGTCAAGGTATTAATGAATAATACACACACAATCACATGGGTTGAATCGTTATGCGAAAGCTGACTACCGAGAATGAAAGAGACCGAAATATCATCTCAATGAAAGTCACCGAAATTTTGAAAGAGTTTGGAGTTTTTGGAATGTTTAACACTTTTTCATAGCAGAAATGTGCCGGAATTTTTTGTTTGATTTGTTTAAATATAATTTTATGTTTTGAAATAATTTTATGTTTTGAAATAATTTTATGTTTTGACATAGTTATAAATGTATAATATGGCATGTAGGCACTTAAGCACCCAAACAAAAACTCACTGGACAGAAACAGAGTTCTACGAAAATTATTCATCAATACAAGCTTACTCACAGACTCATACAAAATACTAGCATACTACCTATTTTTGTATTTGAAAAATATAAAAACATAAAAAACTAAAAACATACAAGCGCACAAACATACAAACATACAAACGCACAAACATACAAACATTAGCAGGCACTCTCGAGCAAACGGTATTGCCATTATTTCGGATCAGCCGGGAGAGACGGGGAAATTAATAAAAGTTCTTTCATATTAAACCTGGATGTAACCGCGAGTCGAAAGTTTAATTGCATGCTCTTCTCCGCTGTACGCACGTCATGCAATGAAATAATTATTACATGTTAATTCATCGCATCATGATTTAAGAACGGATTAATGCTGGCTCGGAACAATCTGGTCAACAATCTACCATTCAATAACAAAACTTATTGTTCCTTAGCATTGTGCCATTCAAATATTTACTGATCTCATGAACATCTTCCCGAACTTTTGACATATAGATAAATATCTTTTATAAACCATCGTTTGTTTGATTATCTATTTGAAAACAATTTAGTAGCGATACATTTGCGGATATTTACTTGATTACTTATTGTTAATATCATGTTAATCAATCACAAACACAGACTATCTCTTTTCTCAAACACACACACACAACACACACACAACACACACTTGTCTTCAGTTTTTCAAGTGCAAAACTGATTTTAACGTTATAGAGTTGCTTCGAAACAATATACAACAAACTATAACGTATAGTGTCATGGAAAATATTTTCAACCATAGATGCATTTACTGCTTAAATTTAAAAGCATCAAACTTCAATTGAAAAGTTTATTACAACCGAGTGATTTTTATGAATATATTCCAATTTAATTAATATTTTCTTCATTTTTAAATTTTTCAATTTATTTACTGATTCAAACACAAAATGAATGGAAAAATTTTTACAGGCAAACAAGTCATAGCGGAAGAAATTGACCTTATTAAAGATCTCAAATTGTTTCATTCCAATTATTTTTTCAAGACAAACATCATTGTTACGCCCATCTACATTTATATTCTACACGACCAATAACCAAAACTTTCAACCCCATTAATTTCTAACAAACAAAATTAATTCCAGCCACCCTAAATTCCACCCCACCATAAATTCCACCCCACCATAAATTCCACCCCCCCATAAATCCCACCACCCACCCACTTACCAACGCAAGTTCTCAAAATGGACAGAGGCATGACAAACATGGCAGACATCATGTCGCTGAGGGCCAAAGATACCAAAAAGCAGTTGAACATGCTCTGCAGCTTCCGTTTATAATAGACGGCTAGGACGACGAGAACGTTTCCCCAGATGGCAGCCATGGCCAGGCAGGAGAGGAAAATGAAACCTGGCCAGTTGAAGTCCACGTGTGAAAATGTGAAGCCGATGGTGGTCGTTGTGAGGCTGCTGTCGTTGTAGTAGTTGATGTGGTGGTTGCTACTGCTGCTGATGTTGATATCCATGTAGTTGATGATGCTGTTGTTGATGTGGTTGTAGATGTCGTCCAAGTTTTTGTAATCATTGATGGATTTGTATTTGTAGATGTCTCTGTTGAAATTGTTGTCGAAGTTTACTGTGGTGGCGTATAAGAGAAGAGAGAAGGAAGATGATGATGGCGATGAAGATGATGTCGTTGGTGATGATGGCGTGCAGATCTCAACTGATGAAGTTGAGGATGGTGTTCGCGATATCATGGTTATAGAAGGATGTCCGGTTAACATATGCAACATTTAAAACCCTGAAGACATTTTTATAGCGCTGACAACGTTACGAATGTTCGATCATGTGCCGGTTTGTAAATACTTTGTTGCATCTGGAAATTTATCTGGACTGCTTTTCTGAAAATTTTCTGATTTTTTTTTTTTGCCTGTTATTAACTAATAAAATTGTTATTTTAGAGCGTTTCAGGTAACAGTTTTTTGATGAATTTTTCATGAAACTTTAAAACTTGAAATGATTAAGCACGGCAAGTATGTATATATACAAACAAATAGAAAACTTTATTTCTGAATAAAAGTCAATCTCTTTTTTTAAATTTTAAAGTTACATATAATCTTTATGAACAATCATAAAAATGTCTAAATATAAAAATCTAATTTGCTTCCTGCCTAAAATTTCCAAGAATCTTGAAAATTATTTAATATAAAACATTTTTTTATAGCAAATTAAAGAGTTAGTTGAATTTAATTGGTCAGAAAATACGGATTCAACGGCGTCAACCCGAAGGGCGAAAATTTATTTTTAATAATCTTCTCAATTATTTCTAAGTGGTTGAAGTTAAATTTAAAATTTTCACTACTCACACTAGAAGTTTTGAAAACTGGATTAAGTGAACGAGAACATTCTAATGTAATTCACCACAGATGGTTTCCAATAAACGAACTAATTCGCCAACACGCGCGATTAGATGAAGTTAATAAGCTTGCGATGGTGAGGCCGCCAGCTGTGGTGAATGCAGCCATTTCTTCAAGGGGGATCATAAATCAGACGACGTCGAGGCGGTCAGTTGATTGATTTATTTTTATTCCTCTTTCTTTTGTTTATCTCTTTCAAACGGGCGTCATCAGAGATATATTGACCAGTAATGACGATGGTGACGAAGATGATGATGATGGTTGGGATGCAGGAGGTAAGGATAGATAGATAGGAAGGTGGGTGGTTAGATGAAACACCACAGTAACGACTTATCTTCAACTAGGACGACGATTTGGGGTAAAATTTTGAAAACAGGGTTTCTTGTCAATTTATGATTTGTTGTTTAATTACAGAATGAATATACATTAAAATTATTTTTTTTATACAATCTGTTGAAATATAATTTTTATTGGGATAAAAATATGATGTGGATGAACGAGTTAGGTTGATGAGGAATTAATTCTTTCATCAGTCTTCACCCTGGAGCAAAATAAAACAATTCAGTTCTTCCATTCCAACCCATCGTCAGATACAATCAAAACTCTAATTCTCTCTCTTGATTTTTAATTACGCTACAATCAACTATATACAGATATATTATTATGTTGTTAGGATATTAATTGCATAATAATATTCACTTAATATTCAAACACACGAGGTTCATGTCTCGATCCTATACAACCAACAGTTGAATAAGCACAACAAAAACAAATATTAAAATGATTTCTATTTATTGAATTTCTTATACTTTAGTAAGAAAAAATTTATGAAGAATTAAGGCCAAAATTATAGCCATGTATTTTGGTTATAATATAATTAAATAACGTTTTTAGTGTAAAATAACAAATAAAAATTAACGTTGTTATTATAAAATGATATTCATTTTTATATTGAAATTATATTGTTACATTTAATTTATACTTCATTAAATAAATTTGATTTTAATTCTTCCATAGATGAAACTACTGACCGACCGACCGACCGACACAAAACGTGCTCTATATTTAATCCAGACGAATATGAACGCAAACCACACCAATACTTTATATATATATATATACATATAATATGTATATATATATAAATCTGTATACAACTTTGTGAATATAAAAGTGTGTGTGTTTGTATGTGCATATGTAGACTGATGCAGAGAATTTCGAATGCGATATAACAGACGAAGTTGAGAAGAACATGATTTAGACAGCATTTTTATATGATTATTGAAGCCAACTTTAAAAACATCGAGCCAAGCACACCTTTCATAGATTCACATTGCCATATAGACCTCATGTCAAAAAGAATCGAAAATTTTACAATTTTTCCTGACTTTCTGAAAACAAATCAAGGAACATTTGCCCAAAATTATGCGGTTTGTGTGGTGGTGTTCTCTTATCCTAAGGATTGGTCGAGTCCAAATTTTGCTGATGACGTATTGGAGCCTCTGCTAAAATTAGGCAACATGTGGCCAATAATTGGCTGTCATCCGAGAGACGCATTTTCATTTAACAAATTCAAAAGTCAGAAATTGCAAAACTTGCTATCGGGCAAGAGAATTAAAGCAGTAGGCAAGATGGGCCTCGATTACTCACTATTATGCTTTCGAAATAGCAAGTAAAGACAAATAGAAGCCTTCAGTAGGCAAATTGACATAGCGATGATGAACAACCTGCCGATGGTGATACACAGTCGAGATGCAGAAGAAGATACGATCAATGTCATGAAAAAAGCGTGCTGTCAGCCATCGAAAATTTATAGACACTGCTTTACTGGAACGGCTGAAAAAGCCAAAAATTGACTGAAAATTTTCCCAAACAGCTACATCGGCCTTACACCGGCTGTCACTAATTTTTTAAAATACCCGACTTTGAAAAATGTTATGAAAGAAATTCCGTTGAACAAACTCTTAATAGAAACCGACGCTCCATATTATGTTCTTTAGATGGTAAGTTTTTTGAAGCCATAAATAACTATTTTTCAATTACATATTTTTAGTGTCTGAATCTTTTTAAATGACTTTATTTGAGTGTTTGGTTCTACTTAGCATCAGTTTGGTGATAGTAAATTTTTTAAAACGGATTCTGGAAGTTAAGTTGGTGAGATGTGCGGGTGGCAGTGGAAACAATTCAATAAAAATTAGTGAAATTATTTTTCTAATTTGTAACATTTCATACTGCGATGTATCAACTTTAAAAACAAAACCTATGCCGCCCATTGAAGATAACGATACCCACCAACAAGCAGTTCATTTTAACGTGAAAATTTTGACGTTTTGTTGACAGATGAATTTTTTTTTTAAATAGTTTTTTTTTGTGGAAACTTCTACGATTTTGAGTTATTTGATTTATTTATTAATAATTTAAACAGATAAAAAAATGATGATGATGATGATTTTGAAAATAAAGACACACATAAGATTACGTATTCATTTAATTGCATGACAAAACATATCATAGAGAAATGACAATGATTTACTGGAATTGCTACTGAGCCACTAGCTGTTGATCATTCACTGACCACCAACCAGTCAACAGACAAACAAACATGAACGAATGTACATCAACTTTTGCATAGGATGGTGTATTCACTCTTCACGATGAAGCTACCAAACAAGTGAATGCCAAGCGGGAACAAGCAAAAATTTAAACCCACAACAATACGTACAAGCATACAAAAAACATACAAGCGCAAACAAACAAACAATCACAAAGACATAACCATTCAAACACAGACATAAAAACACAAAAAATTACTCACAAACAGTCGGGCAGCATCATAAGTTAAAACGAAATAAAAGAAACCCAATGGAATACAATAGAACATCAATCTAATGAAGCAACCGACCAACAGTTCATGCTTTGCAGCTTTGTTTGTTAGTTGGTTTGTTTGTTGGTTGGCTGGTTGGTTGTTTGGCTGGCTGGCTGGTTGGTTGGCTGGCTGGTTAGTTGTTGGTTGGTTGGTTGGTTAGTTGGCTGGTTGGTTGGTTTGTCGGTTGGTGGATCGTTAAATTTGATTAATTTAATAAGATTAAACAATCTTTATAATTGTGCTAATGTTAATTCAATATACAATGAAAAATTAATGATGGAATAGTTGTAATAAAAAATAAATTGCACGATCTCATGATGATGCAGGGAATGCGTGACTCGAACAATCTCATCCGCTGACATGGCAAGTCAAATTACAAGAACCAAATTATATTAATGTGTCATGGTGGTTGTGTCATGAAAATCTGCAATCATGTGTGCGTGTATGTGAGTGTGTATGTGTGTGTGGTGTGTATGTACGGTGTGTGGTGTGTATGTGCGATGTGTGTGTGTGTGTGTGTGTATGTGCGGTGTGTGTGTGTGTGTGTCTGTGTGTTTCACGGGTATATTCATGGAAAAGTTTGTTATCAAAGCAAACATTATGTAAACTTTCTTTCAGACAAAATTTAGTTAAGGCATTGGCAAAAATAGAATTTTTATTTTTTCGTATCTTCAATAAACTATATATCAAGATAAAACTTCATCTCAAGAAACTTAAATTATAGGTCCAGCTATCTATATTCCGTAAGCTCAATGATTTTTGATATATAAGCACAACCGCTTCAGACGCAAACATGTTTAAACATTAATTGGAATGCCAATAGTATAGAAACACTGAAATTTACTAACCCAAGAAATGAGTCACTCCTCGATCCACAACCGTTACAAGACGTGCCGGGCTTATGCATCACTAAAATCACAAACGTAAGATTCTACAGAAATGACAAATATTCCAAAGGTAACAAAAATATAAACAATTCATTTGAAATTAATTATATTGTTTAACAGCCAGATAATTATAGCGAGCTGTATCTAGTTAAAGTCATTTATTCTTAAAAATTCTATCAGTCAACTTCCTTAACTTCTTTTTCCTTGCTTGTGGATTATTATAGATGGAATGATGTGATACGACGTTGTAACAAACAAAACAGCAATAATTAACATAGAACAATAAAAATATTTACTAGAATTTTGATAAACCTTATTTGTAAAAATTTAAAAATCAAAAAATGATTGGCAACAGATCATCAAGTTTTTATAGAAGTGTTGAATTAAGCTGCATGCCACAATAATATATACGTGTCTCTGATAGTCAAAACCACGCAAAAATATAAAACATTCGTTGCCCCTCAATCTAACAACATATTTGTTGAGTTATACGCTATTCATGATATGAAGTAACATGACCCCATCATGAAACTTCAACATGCATTGAAGCAACAAGATATAACTTGCGATTCAGAATAACCAACCAACAGTTATTGTTAACATAAAATATGAACAACGACACCACATGCAAACCTGTCTATCCAACAACTATAAATAAATTTCATATAACGTTAATTAATGTAAGAATACAAAATATAAATAAAAATAAATAAAATTATAAACTTTAAAAAATAATAGAAAAAATATTAGAAAAAAAATAAAACATTTGAAACGCATGTTGACCCCGACAATGTAAACACGTACAATAACATCATTACTGATTAAGACTGTGAAGACACAAAAGAGTTTGATAACTGGAGCATCAACTTAATGCAGAATAACAACTAACAACGACAAAGAAGCCACACAAAACAATGGACAACACACACGAAACAATGAACCCACTGACTGAGATGAGATTGTGCCAGGATGAAAGATGAACAAAGAAAGGACATCAGTAGCTAATCAGCTTCAATGCTCATCAATTCCTTTCTGCTGCACGTTTCCATTGTGCTCGCTTGATAAACTAAAACAATCTAACAAGCCCAACAACAAAACGAACAAAAACTAAAACAACTACACTGACAAAAAGACACACACACTCACACAAACAAACACACAAACGCAAACAAACACACACACAGACACGCATACACACACACACACACACAAACAAAGAAACATACACCACTTGAGTTCATCAGTTGAGTTCATCAGTCGAGTTCATCAGTTGTGTTCACTAGTTGTGTTCGCAAGTTGAATTGAATTAGACGTATATATATATATATTACAATAACAGACAATGCGTCCTTCTCTGTCAACTTGAACAACTTATATCATTATAATGATATAGATACGAGGAGCAATGATAAGCAGACAAACCACGTGCCAAACAACGAAAGAACTGATTATTGAATGATATGAATGAAGGACTCAGCTAATCCCATTTCCATCCCAGGTTATTAGGTTCATCATTCGACCTCATTCAGCTTCATCTAATGGTTTTTCTATTATATTTTTGACAAAATATTCATTATTAAAAGAATTTTTTATAACAGATGAAGAATTTTTGAAAAAAGTGAAAGAAAGAACCAAAAACATAAAATTATGTGTAGGATAAAAATGTTGCTTCAGAAGATAAGACGTATTAATAGCAATATCAATAACGGAAAAAATGCGATAAAAAGGAAAGAATAATTTCAGAACAGAAAAGTATTTTAAATAAAATTCAACGTCACACGAGGAACAACGCATAAGACAACCTGTAACAACGACATGTGACACGAGACTATAAAACTCATTTAACAACATTACGCAACATAAAACATTGAACAAAACAACATACGCCAGCGTACACCAACATCCAATTATGATACATACAACGATATACCATACAAAAACATACATACAACAACATACACCGATATACCATTATAGCGTTTTCAGCCACGACTCATTATAAAAATTTTCAGAAAAGTTATTAAAAATGTCTTTAGAACTCTCGTAACAACGATAATTATACTTCTGATGATATTATGAAAATTAGTATGCTAAAATAAAATTTAAAAAATCTCGAATGAAATAAAATTCATTCAACTTATTTAACAAAAATGAAACAAACACCAGTCATAACTGAAATCTTCGGCCGGACGATCACACACAAATTTCACGAACATCGATGAGCACACCACACTCATTCGTTCGTTGGTTGGTTGGTTCGTTCGTTGGTTGGTTCGTTCGTTCGTTTGTTCTTTCATTTATTTATTCATTCATTCATTCATTCACTTAGCAGACCATACATATGAAAGTATATGAAAGTTGAAGATGCTGAAGTTGAAGTAAATAAGAATGACATGAGAGGGAAGGTAAATAAAAATTTAACTTAAATATTGAATAAAATACGTTGATCCAACATAAATTCCTATAATAAACAAAATTGCAAAATAAATAATGAACTGACTCCCAAGCAAATAATAAATTGAAACTGGAATGAAAAGTGCAGTCAGTCGTCGGGCTTCATAAAGCGCTGCAAACAACTAGGAAGTCCATGCATTAAATAATCCTGCAATCCTAGAGACCTCATGTCGCTCTTCGGTTCTGAGTGTGTGTGTGTGCGTGCGAGTAAGTGTGTAGGAGTTAAACAACGATGACTTCGTTCGTTTGTTCGTGTGTGTATGTGTGTGTGTGTACATGTGTTTGTATGTGTGTGTATTTGCGTGTGTGTTTGTGGGTGCTTGCATATACAAGCATTTGTGAATGTATGTTTGTGTGCACTTGAAATTAATTTTCTAGTGATTGTAGATTATCATTCATTTGCGGACGCAACTGCAAAATTTTAGATGGTAATGATGAAAACATCAAATATTTGAAGCAACTAAAGTTGTTAAAAATCTCTTGGATTCCGATAGAAGCAAGTAAATATGACCAGACAATTTAGCAAGCGTTTATGACATGTAAGATTCTTCGGCTAATAACGCTTTTGGAAACAGCAGAGTTGCCCGTGTTGATCAAGTTGCAGAAATGTGTTTGAATGTGCATCTAATGTTCATCTACTACGATGGTAAAAATAAGTTTCATTAAATTGAAATTTTCAAGTGAATTTTTTGTTTGTACACCATCGTTGAGGTCTGCGTTCCGGTCATATCAAAAGTCATTTATTACGTTAATCAAGTGCGATCATTTTGCTAGTATAATGTTTTGTGCGTGTTTACAAAACTGTTTGTGTTTATAAACTGCTGTTATTTTTTAGGTTCATGCATCTACATTGGAATATTTTGACTATTAGTGGTAGTAGTAGTAGTAGTAGTAGTAGTAGTAGTAGTAGTAGTAGTAGTAGTAGTAGTAGTAGTAGTAGTAGTAGTAGTAGTAGTAGTAGTAGTAGTAGGAGTAGTAGAACCGAGAACCTTAAATAAGCTGCCGAATAATTTGCTCGTGAAAATGTGTTTATAAACTTTGCAAATAAGTATTTTCGTGTCATTTATATTTCAAATGTTTTAACTTATAAGGAAATTATATATGTTTGCATATCATCATCTGCCCCAGCCTCACTAGTCTTTATGCTATGTCCATGTAAAAACGCTAATCTGTTACTCGAAGTTATGTTGCCTACTAATGCTTGTCTATGTATATTTAAGTATTCACATTTATCTATTGTTTTGTATTCATCTTTCTTTATGTCTTTATTCTATGTATCTATGTATTAATATGTATGTATGCATTTAAAATATCTTGTTTATGTTAGCAAACCTGTTTAAGTCTATCAACTGCGTTTATGTATTTTTATGTTTATGAAGCTACATTTGGATACCTCAACGCATACGTTCATGTTTTTTGCCTTCAATTTTGTTTATGGTTTATTTTACGCAGCCATGTTTGTTTATAGATCTATGTTTGTGGCGTGTGGCCATATTTGTTTGTATCTATGTTTTTCTGCCATGTTTGTTCATTTTTCTACGTCTGTTGGCATAAACATGTTTATTTGTTTATGCTTACTGTATGTTGATATCTTTCTTTATGTATTTACGTTTTCAATATATCTATGTCTATATTTAAGTCAGTTTCAGCAGACACGTTAGCCTGCAGAGTTTTAGGTTTTATGTTCGTCCGTGCTACCAAGCTAGTTTATTTATCTATGTTTCTTTGTACGGACATGTTTATTTTTTGTCCTAATTGTATTTTCATGTGACCATGTTCTAAATGCGCACGGTGGTTTATATCCATGTTCTTTGGTATTTATCTTTGAAGCTACGTTCGTTCATCTATCTATGTTTCTTTAAAAGGCCATGTTTGTTGAAGCGCTTTATTTGGTTTATTTGGCCGGTTGGGCATGTGTGTGTCATGTTGAACTGAGTTAAAGGATTAGCATTAAGTTACCATTCAAGATATGATTGGCCGGGGATAATGATGATGATGCTGACCATGGTTATGATGATGAGAATGGTGTTAATAGTGATGATGATGATGATGATAATAACAACAACAACGGTAATAATAATCATAATAATAGTGATGACGATTGGGATGTTGATTATTTTAGTGATGACGATGATGATGATGACGTGTCAGTGATGAAAATGATAATGATGATTATAGTGATTTTAAGGATGATGATGATGGTGATGCTGATGATGATAATGGTGGTGATGATGATGATGAACATCAGCTTGGTGATGAAAGACGGATCAGAAATGCAGCATCGTTTGGACGACGACAAGAAGATTAGATAACAAAAAAAATTTTTTTGAAGTTTGGAGGTGCATTATGAAGGTCGGTGTGATGGAAAAGGTGATGACGATAATGATGATGATAATGATGAAAATGGTGATAATGATGAAGATGATGATTTTGATGAAGATGATGATATTGATGATGATGATGATATTGATGATGATGATATTGATGATGATCAATAATTATAAAAAAAAAATTAAAAAATTGGTCATTTAAAATGGGCGGGAGATTAGAGCATGCGTTGAGATGATATTCACGACCCTGTGTATTGGAATAATGATGATGATGATGATGATGATGGATTCAGAAGATGGATGAGGCAGATGGATGATGAATGTGCAAGTATGTGCGTATGATAACCATTCATTGAATAATAATCTCCAGAGCCTTTCAGGTGCACTGCTATGCCACGTCATTCGGCTACATATTGGTGAGTAATTCATTATATTCCGGGTTGGCTTGTGGTGGATGTTCTTTGTTCAAGTGTTAATATTTAAGCAAGTGCTCTTTTGTTATTAATATTAAAGTTATTAATATTAAATATTATTATTATTATTATTGTTGTTGTTGCTGTTGTTGTTGTTGCTGTAATTGTTGCCTTTGTTATTGTTATTATTAATGATAAAAAAAATGTATGAAGTATTTCAATATAAAAAATTTAAATAGAGCAAATTAAAGCCAGACAAAACGCATTTTGTGGGGACGTCGTTCACTGGTGTGTCTGCCTTGATTGGAATGCGACGAACCTCAGGGTGTCGGGTGAAAAGTATCCGACTGCTCAAATAATTCCGATTCTGACGATTGCTGGTAAAATTTTCCTACCCCGACTGACTTCAACACATTTGGACAAATTGTAACGATTCATTTGTAAAGTTTCGTCACTTCATTACTTTCCTTCGTTTTCAAACTTTTGCGAAACTGCAGCAGAAAGTTGCAGGGCACACGCAACTCTAGTGTCAAACTCTTCCAGATTAACAGACCTATCTCAGAAAAACTTCTTCGCACGAAAAATAATCTAAAAAATCTGTACACCAAACTTATTTTTTTAAATTTCGTCAATTAAGACAAAATCAAATTATATATATAAATTGAATAAAAAAAAGTCAAAGAGTTATATAACTAGTGGATATATTATACATGTGCATGTTACTTGTTCTTATATCTATCTATGTGCTTATGTATAAGTATCCTGCGCTTGTTTAAAATATGAATGATGCTTTCCGCCACTAAAACTAAATCTGGATAACAACTCACCTCGGATTCACTTGAAATGGAGAAGCATGCAGCACGCAGACAATTTTCTAAAAATCCAACATGGAAAACCAACTAAAATATTAGAAGACTAACATAATGGAAAATAAAGATTATTATGTCAAGAATTATTATATGTACCCCGCATTCAATGCCTAATTTAGAAAAATGATTGCTGTATTTTAAAAGAAAAAATTTGATAGAACATTTTGGAGAACAAAACATGCATGGATATATAAATGAAAACTTCAACACACACACACACCACACACATACACACACACACGCACACGCACACACGCGCGCAGCAAATTTTAAAGTCTAACCTTACTTTCATAGAAATAATTGTTGCTTATCCAAAAATTTATAAAAAAAACTATTGAATGAATGTTTAATTAAATGTGGCCGACGGAGCCCATAATGCTTAACGTTCAGAGTTTTTGTAATGTTACCCTTCTTCTTCTGTCAGTCATTTGAAAAAAAATTTTTTGAACAAATTTAATAAAAGTAATTTATTGGACAATTTAAATTTTTGCTAATGTTTACAGGTTTAAAACGTTGAATTTCAAAGGGAACATGAAAGTTTCTGCAAATTAGGAAACTATTGCTGAATAAATATTCCACCACATGTTACACGTGTTGGATTGAAATGAGTTTTTCAGGTGGTTCAGAAGGGAGGTTTCGTCGATTAAGTAGGAAAAATGCTGTAGTGGTATTCGCATTGCATCAACTGCAGGCCAATAACATTTCCTGAAGAGATTGAACTTTAAAATTCTGAATAAATAAATTAACTGACTAGCAATTTATTAGAGATAATGTTGATAGACGTGAAATGAAATAAAAAAAGACTAAACACTAATCGAGGTTTATGTTTGTTGAGAATGCGAAACGTTCTAGCAGAATATACAGGTTTTACTAGAAATATTGAAACTTACCCAAGAAATTTAACATCCCTAAAATATTTTACAGCATTTCCCAAACATTTTACAACATTTATGATTAAACATGTTTTATTTGTGTTGGGAATAAATGCATTTTTCCTCAACCAGTCGTTAACAAAAGTTGTAAAATATTTTGAAAATGCTGTAAAATATTTTGGAGATGTAAAATTTCTTTCAGATGTTGTAATATTTCTCGTAAAACCTGTAACAAACCAATTAGCAGGAATTGTAACGTAGACGAAGAACCATCTCAAATGTTCAAGTTCGTACCATTTTGAAAAGGTATTTTCACATTCACAGACATCCGCGCATATGGTTTCATACAAAATAAACACACACACACACATACATTGAAGCATACATACATGCATCTTGAGTGACACTCACAAATATATAGAGGAACACGCACACACGCGCACACACACGCGGATCATATTAACCCACAAACCGATTATGAAACAAAAGAATGAACTTAAAACTTTGAACACACACACGTGAATAAATAAATAATTAATGCAAAGAAATAAAAAAAAATACAGAAATACGTAATTTTAGGCAGCAGAAAAATATCTAATTGGTGCGGAGCGAACATTAAGAAGACATTGGGAGTGAGTTTTGTATGTTTTAATGACCCCGCTGGAGAACAATTAGCAAGAAAAAAATGCAGCCACGAACGAAACTCACAGGAACGAACAAACGTACAACCACACGACCAATGTATGTTTGTTGGTATGAATGAATGTATGTATGTATGCATGTGTGTATGTATGTATATATGTATGTATGTATGTATATATGTACGTATGAATGTACGTATGTTTGTCTGTCTGTATTTTATACATAACATACATGAGTACCAAGAGAAAATTTTATAGCAACTGATAAACAAACATCCATAGAAACTTTCAAACAAATCTTTATATATGTGAGAGCATGGGGCTAACTTAAATCAAACCTTCTTCTCTCGACCCAGCATTTAAAAACGCGCCTAGTCAGTGCATGTTTTTTTGCTGCTGTGTGTCTTCTACAAAATTTTTGTATGTACATGTGTATGTTTGTGTGTGTGTGTGTGTGTGTGTGTGTGTGTGTGTGTGTGTGTGTGTGTGTGTGTGTGTGTGTGTGTGTGTGTGTGTGTGTGTGTATGTAAACAACATTCATTTAATTTTTTATGTTGTTTTCATGATTGGCTTCTTTTTTTTTTGGAAATTCTCCGTGCTGATGTATTTGTATTTGTTTTCGTGTTTCTCATTTCTCCGTGTATTTGTGAATGTTTAAATGTCTGTTTGTCCATTTGTATGTATGTTTGTGCTTCAGTGCGCATGTTCCTGTTTTTGTATAAATGTTTATGTAATTACATGTAATGTTATGTAATGTGTAAGATTTTGTGTTTGTATGTATTTTTGTATGTCTGTTCGTCATGTGTATGTCTGTATTTCTCTATCTGTATTTGTCTTTGTATGAATATTTGTGCTTTTGTATGTATGATTGAGTATTTTAATATATGTTTATATATTTGTATATATGTTTGTATAAGTTTAAAAATGTTTATGTATTTGCATAATTTTTAGGATGTTACTTGAATGTAACTTGTGGTTGAAGCACTCACATTAAGATCCAACATTGTTAATAAACTTTTTCTTTTAAAATCGTTCAATTGAAGTTTACTTGATTTAATAGCAATTTAAAAAGTGGTCAAAAGCTGCTCAACGAGTCTGTAGATCATAAAACTTCTAAAAATTTGAAAATCTTTATATGGAGACGGAATTTTTTCAGAAGAACTCATCATTCCCATCTTCTCAAATGGAGGCAACAACAGCATGGTCAATGGTCATTGTTTTGTCTGTTTAAGCTGTCGTCTTGCATGGGAAAAGTTGCTGGGTAGAGGTGGGGCAGGGGTCGATTGTGTCAACATCTTATGGACTTACGGTACTGAATGTTTGTTTGTTTTATTTATATTTTCAGTTTCTGTTTTGTCAGGTCTGCACTTTTTCACGTGTGTGGCGTCTGCAGTTTTGTTTATATGATTTTTAATTCTATATTTTCTTTTTTGCAGTTTATTTATTTCTTAACTTAGGGTCGTCTCTTGATACAGTTTTTTTAATTTTTGGTTTTGGTAAGTACTTTATAGGAACAATAAAAAGAGCTTTTAATTTTTTAGTGGATTCAATTTATTGAGTAATTTAAAATAAGTTTCAACCAATCAACCAGTCATACATGTCAAGTTTACCATCGTCTTCGTCAGCCTCGTCCAAATCATCATCTTATTTATGACAGTCACCGCTAGTGGTCAAAATGCTAGCAACAACAATAACAATGGTGACACTGGTAGCAATGGTAACAACGATTACACCAGTAACTAGGCTGTTGAGGTTGTAATTTTTACCAACAATGGTGATTCGAGTGGCAACTGTAACAAGAGCGTTAAGAATGCAACTGAATGGGTGACCACTCGCAAGTCGTAATAAACACATCTTGATATTATAGGATCAACCCTTTAATGCATAGAATAGCACCATTTTCCCGGACGCCCTATGTTAAGTTGAATTACTCAAACAATTTTAAATTAATACGCTGTAAACTCTTTCTAGTTGTACGAAAAAGAAAGCGTAATTTTTTAAAAATTGAAATCGTTCGGCTATTTCCACATTGATTGAATTATTTTTTTAAGTAGAAACCAATGTCGCATGTTAATGGGTCGTGAAGTATGTGGTTCCTTGTGTAGATGCTTGTTAATATAAAAGTATGTGGCTCCTTGTGGCTCCTTGTGTACGCCGTAGGAGTCGATATGGCTGGACACGTGCGAACGTGTGTGCGCCTCTGTGGAGGAATGAGTGACAAGCAGCTTCATGAGATATGCATTCTGCACTTAAAGTTGAAGCTGCCGTCAGACAGAGTGCTGCAGATGCGTTCGCGGTTATTAGCTTTAAAATGCTTTCATGCCGCACCCATCCCAGCGCGTGTACACAACTCTGTGTGGCATCACTCGCACCGAGGTACGCGCCTACTCTGCTCTGTAATTATTATACTACTATGTATGGAAGCAACTGAACTCCCACTTATGAACAAATATGATGAAATTTACACACACACACACACACACTTGAGTAAATACACATAAACACACGTGTTGAAAAAATACTTATAGTGTTGAAAACCATCACAGGACTTTGTAGGTTGCAGTTGGCAACAAAAAACTATCAGATTTTGGAATAGGCCAAATGGCAGATGGAAGATTTGGATATTCAACTGTTAATTTATTTTCATTGATAAACTTGCTTTAATGGGTGGAGTCAAACAGAAATAGCAGTCATCTGCAGGGTTTTTAGGCTCCCTCCGTACCATAAGAACAGCAAACACCAACAATTTTTTTTATTTTATAACCGTTCTTGTAGTATGATCGAATAAAAATTACAGAATTTATGCTGAGCCCATAATTTATGTTGATTTTTCATCCACTGTCATACCAAAATAATGCTGTAAAGCATTCTTAACAAGGGGTGTAAAAGTTCTTTTCATTTTTGGATTTGGGTCAATAAATTTTTATTAATTCCGTTATAACATTGTCTCATTAATTTGTAAAAAATTTCAATAATATATATGTTAGCTAGTTTGAGAGATATGGTTGGTATACATTGGTACGAGTTTTAAAAAAATCACTCAAAAAATAGAGAGTGGTGTCACAAAAAGATTCATAATTTGAAAAATATCAAATTTTTAAAAATAAAAAAATAAATCGGAAAGAGCCTGGCGTGAATTTTAAAAAAAATCGTTCAAGTTGACGGATGAATATTTTTTAAACGTATGTTCACTTATATTTTATCATACAATACATACACTTTTTATTGTAGTTCTAATGGCGTTTCGGCGTTTATAGTTAAAGATGTTCAGTTAAGTTAAAAGATGTTCACATGAGAGGAAGATGGCATTTGCAGGGTTTTTTGAACAGTTTCGCATGAAGAGGTGTTTTGTTTCACGAGTTTGCGCTATAAAAATACGCGTCGAAGACAAGTTTGTAATGAAATTATTGTCTTTTTATCTTTCTCTATCTCTCCTTTCCTCTCTCTATTTCTTTTTATTCTAGGTGTTTATGTACGTTTATTTTTACATTTGTATGTTTATTGTTTAGTTTGTTCATTTGTATGAAGCCATTTTGTACGCTTTTCGTTGGTGTATTTGTATCTGTGTGTTTAAATATTTAATGTTTTAGTGTATGTTTATTTGTGTTTGTAGGTTGGTGTTAGTATTTTAACGTTATGTTACACATTACTTGCTGAAGTAAATGGATTGTAAGTAGGTATACGCAAGTTTCGCTCACTCGCTCATAAATTGGAACGGGCTGAAACGTTCCAAACATCATCCTGAATGTTGTATTGCTGGAAAGGAACGACTCGACTGGCTGTTTAAAAATATTTCCAAAAACAAGCTTGAATACACCGACGTACATATGCGTAACTGCATGGTGGTACGGTGTTTGTGTTTGTGTTCCATTTCTTCTGCCTATCTTCAATATCAAATTTCTACCTACTCACTCATTTCGAGAGGTTTAAAATTTTTCTTTTCTTGGAAAATCGATGGAGTGTTAAGTCGGATAAACGGCTGCTGCGAATGTTGCTTGGAAAAATTGAAATAAAAAAATATTCTTATTATCGACTTCTTAACAGGACCGTCATCATCATCGTCACCATCATCATCACCACCATCATCATCATCATCGTCACCATCATCATCACCACCATCTTCTTACGAGAATTTGTGCTAATACTCATAATCATCACAATCTTCTTCTTCTTCATCATCATCATCGTCACCATCATCATCATCATTTTCTTCATCATCATTGTCGTCACTATCATCATCACTACCAGCATCATCATCACCATCTTCTTCTTCATCAACATTTTCTTCATCATCACCATCTCCTTCATCTTGTCCCTCACAATCAATATTTTTATCATTTCATCGTCAGTTTATGCGACAAAGTTTAAATGAAAAATAATCTTAGTAAATAAATACATTAATTAACAAAAATAAAAAAAAATTTATCAACAATAAATATATAATAATAATAATAATAGAATGATTAAAAAAACAGTTAAAAGAATTTTAACCAACAACATCTTCGCCACCATTGTGAAAAAACTCCCTCCAACTTCTCCATCTTCAACATTTCAGTTGTACATTTATCATCATTCATCCCATCAAATAAATAATTATATATATATATATATATATATATATATTTATTTATTTATTTATTTATTTATTTATTTATATATTTATCCTTCACCATCCCTTTTCTTCCATCACCATCTACGCCATCAGCCTTTGAGATGTCTGGAAAGATTCTCTTCCTCCGACAGCTGTTCAGTTGAGTTTTTCTTGACTATCTTGGTAAGGTTTGTTCTGTTGGATTGATTGTTGCTGAAGGAGGATGTTTTCCGCTGAGTTGGCTTGGAGGTGCGTCGTAGTGAAGTTAATGTATTGTTTGCTTGTTTGTTGTTGTTGCTTCGCTGACTGAAGTTGCAGGTACTTGTGTGATGGCCCGTTGATTCGCTTGTCTTGTTAATTTGCTGTCAGTGCTCGAATGAATTGCTATACTGAAATTTTATAAAAGCGTCTGAAGAATGTTTTTTAATTTGGCATCATCATCATCACCATCGTTATCATCATCATCATCGTCGTCGTCGTAAACATCATCATCATTTATCTCAATTATCGTCAACAGTGGCATAAAACAAAAACATTGACAGCCAGAAACATCGGCCAACAAAATTATTTTTCGTGCGTGCGTGTGTGCGTGTGTGTGCGTAGGTGTGTTTACCGTATGTCTGTCAGGGGTTGTTAATATTGTGAGCATTTGGTATGTGTGTGTGTGTCGCTGGTTGTGGCGTGTGTCGTTGGTTGTGGCCTGTGATGCTGGCTGGAGTGTGTGCTGCAGGTTGCGGCTTGTGTCGGTGATTTTGGCGTGTGTCGCTGGTTGTGGCGGGTGGAGGCGTGTATCCTGCTTGCATGTTTCTAAATAGCGCATGTGTGACGTGTATATAGTGTGTATGTATACTTAGTGAAGTGTGTACATTTTATATATATATATATAAAATATATATATACATATATATATATACAATATATATATATATATACATATATATATATATATATATATATATATATATATATATTGTCTCGGCACACATACCATTAAAGTTAATGTATATATATATGTATATATCAGGTTTGTTGTATGCATGGAGGTTGTAAGGGTGAGGTTTGTTTTTTTTAATGCGATGTGTTTTTATGTGCTTGTGGTTTATACTGTGTCGACTGGGTTGCTGCTGCTGCTGCTGCTTCTGATGATGCTGACGACGATGATGACGACGGCGATGATGACGATGTTACTGTTTTTTTGATGAAGCTGATAATGACGTCATCATGATGACGTTCGCATGTTATAATGATACTGCTACCAACTTGACAAATTTTCTATCGGTACTTTTCCTCCCTCAGACAAACTTGGGAAGATTTCCCTACAATTAATATGCTTTGGTAGAATATATAGACATGGAGGTGCACGCATGCATTAATATTCATTTGTATATGCATTAATAAATTAATAAACATGAGTATATATGAATATGTATTTGTTTGAATATACAATACATTTATACGTTCTTGAATATATGAAATGCTGGCCTGCTCTTACAAGAAAAATATCTCTAAATATCTACACCATGTTTTCTTTCAATTTTAATTATTCATAATAAAAACATCAGCACATTCTCTGTTTAATAATAATAAGACGCAAGGATGATGTTTGGGTGAAAGGTTGGGGTTGATGAATGGGATTTAAATTATATGATGTTGGTGGCTGTTGTGATGACGACGATGATGATGATGGTGATGACGACACCATGATGGTGATGATGATGAAGAGGTGATGATGATAATGGTGTTGATGATGATGATGATGTTGACTAAGACATAATGATGATGATGGGGATATTATGTTAATTAGCTAGCTACTCATGACTGCTACAGTTGTTTATGACAGAACTTTCATGCCCTTTCCTATTACGCTATGCAACTAATACTGCAGCCCATACTGCTTCTACTACCACTACTACTACCACTACTACTACTACTACTACTACTACTACTACTACCACTACTACTACTACTACTACTACTACTACTACTACTGCTCTGTATGTATTTATTTTACTTATTTATTTAGAAATATTTATATAGCGCAAATTAAATACTTCAAAGGTGCCATCAAAAGTGAAACATACAAAATATCTGTGCGTGATCAACATAAATTAAAATATTCAAATTTAATTTTTATCAACGAAAAATAAATATGTTTTTAATTCATTTTTAAATGTCACAAAATTAATTCCAGGTCTTCTTAATGAAATCGGTAGGTCATTCCAAGCCGTCGAACTCGCAACTGCGATATCTCTTGCACTTATTCGTAGCTGGAACCACCGCCAAAGGATTCATATTATCTGACCTCAGATGCCTGCGTGAAAAATTTATCTGTGATGTAAGCCGGTGACATTCCATTCATGGACTTGAACGCAGTCACTGCAATTTTAAAAATTATTCTTTCCTCAAGTGAAGTTCATTCAATGTTAGCGTTACAGGATCAAATTTCAATTTTCCAGTTACAAGTTTTGCAGCCCTATTTTGAACCGACTGAAGAATGGCAATTAATCTATCAGACAATATAAATGTTATGTTGTTGATTTTGATTTTGATGATGATGTTTTGTTGTTGTTATTACTGTTGTGGCTGTAGTGATTGTTGTTGTTGTTGATAAGGATTTGGTTGTTGCGGTTGATGTTGTTATTGTTGTGGTTGTAGTGGTTGTTGATGTTGTTGCGGTTGTTGTTGTGGTTGTTGTTGAGAGATTTGTTCAGGCTGATGATGACGGTGAATGGGGCTTGCCGGAGAAGAATGCTGTTAATGATTTTTTGACTGATTAGATTGTCGGTCATTTTGTGATTTCATTTGTTGTTGTCGTCAATTTTACTGCGGTTGTTGTTGTGTGTAATTGTTGTCGTTGCTCTGTTTGTTGTGTGTGTGTGTGTGTGTGAGTAAGTGTTGATGTTGTTGTAGTTATTGTATTACTGTGTTTGTAATTGTTGCGTGCGGGTGAAATTGTTGTTGTTTCTGCGATGTTGTGCGTGTGTGTGTATGTGTGTGTATCTGTGTGTGTGTTTGTGTGTGTGTGTTGTAATTGTAGTTGTTGTTGCTGTGATTGTTGTGTGTATATACATTTCTATATTGTTCTTGTCATTTTCGGTTGTTGCAGAGTACATGAATGTTAATGTTACGATTGTTGTTGTTGTTGTTATCAATTTTGTTGTAAGTGTGTGAATGTTAATGTTGTTGTTGTGCGTGCGTGCGTGTGTGTATGTGTGTTTGAAGGTTGTTGTTTGTGTGGCGGGGATGCGTGAACTGTTGTGTATACAAAAATGTTGATGTTGTGTTTGTGTGTGTTTGTCTGTGTGTGTATGTGTTTTTCATTCTTCATAATGCAGATCTGTCAAATGCAAGCAACACATCATACGCGTATGATGGCTTTTGAGTTTTGGACAGGCAGCAGTCGAACCACGCCATCACGTAATAGGAGCGCGAGACATGGCACTCCTACCGACTGAGCTAATCCGGTTTGCGAGAATGGTTGTTTTTATTGGATAAATATTGGATAAATATTAGTGAAAAACCTGAAAAAAAAACCAAAACATCACTTGACTGATGAGGAACAGCGCACTCACAACAACCACATCAGCAGCTGCAACAACAACCACATCAGCAGCTGCAACAACAACCACATCAGCAGCTGCAACATGAACAACAACCACATCGTGTCGCTTCATTAGACAGCAAAATTGAACAACGACGTTTGATGAAGAGATAGAAAAAAAGAGAAAAAAAAATTCGATATGATTGAAAAGATAATGTATTTACATATCGTCTCCATGGCAGTGGCAATTAGCACAACAATAACCAGCCAAGACCTCGCATTATTATGCTACGAAATAAGATGGATACATTAGGCGTACATTTCCTTACACACACACACACACACACACACACACAAACACACACACACATACTATGATCTATCCATCCATACAGAAATAAATATCTTGAAAAAGATCCTAGTTTTTTTTTACTGCGCGTGTACTGAAAGTTGTTCGCTATGTTCTTATAATATTTGACGAATGCTATTAAAAAAATATTTTGAGAAATCATATATAAGCAACGCTGAAAATGCTGTGATTTTCTAAGCAACTGTTTATCTGGTAGTCTGAATCCTAAATATATATTTATATATAAATGCACTTATTGATGAAAATCAGAACTTATTCGGCGTGAGCTTATCTCCTGTTTAAGGGTCAAGTATTCGTTATTCCGTAGGTTTAAGATTTTATATAGATGTATACAACTTTTTCAAACGCAAACTTTGTTGAACGTTAATTTGAATACATTTGTTTGTTTGTGTGTGTGTGTGTGTGTCTTTTTATCAGTGTAGTTGTTTTAGTTTTTGTTCGTTTTGTTGTTGGGCTTGTTAGATTGTTTTAGTTTATCAAGCGAGCACAATGGAAACGTGCAGCAGAAAGGAATTGATGAGCATTGAAGCTGATTAGCTACTGATGTCCTTTCTTTGTTCATCTTTCATCCTGGCACAATCTCATCTCAGTCAGTGGGTTCATTGTTTCGTGTGTGTTGTCCATTGTTTTGTGTGGCTTCTTTGTCGTTGTTAGTTGTTATTCTGCATTAAGTTGATGCTCCAGTTATCAAACTCTTTTGTGTCTTCACAGTGGACTTTTCATCTTAATCTGTAATGATGTTATTGTACGTGTGTACATTGTCGAGGTCAAATGAGAGAAATCACTTTAGTCCGTTGAATTGTTTGCGCAGCCAACCCACATCTCACCACCTCAACATTCAAAATCTGCAAGAAAAAATTTACTATCAGCAGACCGATCCAGACAAGCAAATAAACCCATTCAGAAAGATAAAAACACACACATAAAAATAAATAGAACAACTGTGTGAACAAATTTGTTTCTCTGAACGAACACGCACCGTACACAATATAAACACACACAAACAATCAAAAGATGTAGAGGCACAGGACAATTAACATCACATACATAGCCACGTTGGTAAATGAACAACAGATTTCTACCATAAACCAGCAGTAGACAAAACATCAAACGGACAAGAGGCATAAATAAGCATTAATGGCTAACATGAAAAAAAAAATCCATGCAGTAGCAAAATGAACATAAACAAATTATATATAAAACAACGTGAACAATAAATAAACAGTTGACAAAAACTATGCCAACAACACGTGAAAAATATAAAGAGCTCAGAAACAGAGTTTAAAACAACAGACGCCTACCAAATCAACATGGCATTATTTGCAAGTTTAACAAGACTCAAGCATTTAAAAAAAACACTTAAAAAAATAAAACAAAAACAACATTAGCAGCAACAATAATAACAACAAAAGCAGCAAAATAATAAAATGGTTTTCTAATTTCAGCATTTTCACCGCTGACCAGTGTACGACACGTATTTATCATACATGGCAGCCTAGTCTAGAACTCGCACACACAACACACAGTTTTATATTTTTGCGTGGTTTTGACTATCAGAGGCACGTATATATTATTGTGGCGTGCAGTTTAATTCAACGCTTCTATAAAAACTTGATGATCTGTTGCCAAACATTTTTTAATTTATAAATTTTTATAAATAAAGCTTATCGAAATTCTAGTAATTTTTTTTATTGTTCTTTGTTATTTATTTTTTTTGTCTTTTTTTTACAGCGTCGTATCATATCATGCCACCTATAATGATTCACAAGCAAGGAAAAAGAAGAAAAGAAGGAAGTTTAATGATGGGATCGGATGATTTTTAAATTAGCCAAATTTTCGATAGGATACATAAGAATAAATTTTTGAGAATAAATGACTTTAACTAATTACAACGCACTATTATTATCTGGCTGTTGAACAGTTTATTACAAAAAAAAAACAAATGTTATAAATTCATACAGTGACAAAATAATAATAAAATACGGCAAGTTAAATATTCAAAAAGTTATTTTCCATGTCAGTTATGGAAAACCAGTTGAACCAATTACTTCACGAAATGTTTTACATGTCATTGCTCCAAATGTTGCGAACTTTATTGTCTATGTCATGCATTAAAACAAAATTGCTCCAAATGTTCTTGCGGGCGTTGTGAGCCGGGTTGTTGTTGCTCCATATATTGCGAATTTGCGACTCATCCTTTGCAAGGGAAAAACTTCTCAGGTTTTCACTTTCGGCTGGAATCTCAAGCTCGCTGTTGTTCTGTAACATTCTTCTTCTGCTTTCGAAATGTTCACTTTCGAACAAAATATTGTTGAATAATTCTTCATTTTCGATTTCACTATCCCTCACAAAAGACATATTCCAAATATTGTCTTTAATGCTCTCTGATTCCGATTCATCATCTTTCGCTTGTTGATTTTCCAGTAGCATTTCTCCGCTGTTTTCAAACTCTTCACTTTGCTCCACAAAATTGTTGGATGCAAATTTATAGTTATCCAAAATCCATCTATCACATTGTTTAGGATGTTCCTTTTGCACTGAAACTTTGCTGAACGATTTATCACTTCTAACTACAACATCCTTCGTATTGCCTATAAAATCATTTAACGAGCTTACATTTTTCGGTAAGTATTCAGCTCTACAGCTTTCTACCTGCTTCAAAATATTTATCAGATAATTCACTACATTTGAGTTCTGCACTGAAACACTCTTGTTCCAAACGCTATCTATCTTCGCGTTCAGGCTTTTATTTGAAGATTCGTATTTGCTGGTTTCCATTTTCTTTTCCCTGTTGTCTTGAGCTTGTTCCCAATTTAATTTTTTCAAAACAGTTGGAGGAACTTTCATGATTATGAATTTTAAGTCCCTGGTAGTGATAAACACCGTTCCATTGAATGTAAGTGTTACATCGAAACATTTCTTCAGATTTTTTGCAGATTTCAATGCAACCAGTATCTGGTCACCAATTCGGTTAAAGATGGTTAGTCTAAGGCCGTAGTAATTGTTGCATACAATCAATTCATCGTTTGTTCCAATTTTTACAAAAATTGGATAATCTGTTATTCCTTCCTTTCCTATCGTCCGCAGTTTGTGGCCTTCATAATTGATCACCTCTACACAATGTTTTCGATTATCGCAGACGAAGAGCTCGTTGTGTTTATTGGCGGCAATATTGTAAGGATAGTCGATATCTGGGCAGTGCAATGTATTCAGCAACAATCCCTTTTGGTCAAATATGTAAATTTTCTTGTGCGTAGAATCCAGGAGAAATATTTTGAAGTTGTTATCCATGCACACATCCTTTGGATTCGTTGCTTCGTAACGGAAGGAGGTTATTTTGTATAAATTTTCCCCAATCACCGTGATTCTCTTGTGAGGAGGTCTTTCGACAACAACTAACCATTTGGTATGCGGACACAAATACATGCAGTCAGGCGACCACAACAACGTTCGATTGTTGTGCGTATTAACATTTGTCTTTAAATTTCCATTCAAATCAAATATTTTTAATGTATTGATTTTTGTGTCCGCCATTATGACTTGATCTTCTGCGTTCTTGCACAAACTGTTTGGACCGTCAAATGTATCTCCATCAATTTTAACAACAGTCAGAAAATCACGTTTTACTGCATTCGATTTTAATACGTTCAATCTGTGTTTTTCCCGATTTTTACATAGAACTAAATTTTTGGGGTAGCAATATTTGCTTTGAGCATACAGATTTTTGCATTTTTTCCCATAATTTTTCGGAATATTACTTTTCAGTGAAAAGTCATTGGGACCATTAATCTTAGGCTGTTTGAATTCTACGGACATTCCAATATTCAACGAGAAATTAATGAGTCCTTGAGTCAGAACTGCAGAACTCCGCTTAGTTTCACGTTGTTTTGTCCTGGTAACAACAGACCAATCTTCGCTGACACTCGGACACATCTTATCAATGCTTCCACTGCTCGGAAGTTCGCTGACGACATCTTTGACTTTCAAAAGTTGGTCCCTGTTTTCATCAGTTTTCAAACTTTTCAATAATACATTTCTCATCTTAAAAACTTTTATTGTTGGAAGTAATTCAAATCGCAATCAATATACCTAAGAAGTAAGTGTTGAACTGGGAAGATGTGATGCTTCAACCTCATCGTCAACTCTATTTATACTTGAAATTTAACTTTGCTTTTTGATGAGTTTTACTATCAGTCTTTGTATCAGATACATCGTTGTAAATGTACATAGAAAATTGTTTTGATTAATTTAGAGCTAATTTTACGATGGTGGTGCAATTTTACGATTTTTATTATTATCGTCTTTGTGAAATATCTATTACATTTTTTTATTAGCTTATCAACAATTTCTCATCGTAAGATTGTTTTAATTCGATCAAATCTTACAATTTCATAACTTCGAAAAGTGTGCTAAGTTGAAATATGCGCACAATTGGTCGATAGAATAAAACTCTTAGTGAAATATGTTCAATATATGAAATTTCTAAAAGCTAACAAATATTTATCATACTATGGAACAAATAATTCGCAAATATTATTTTAAAATGAGATGACAAAGGGCTAGTATAACCAGTGCCTTTTAACAGGTGTTATATCTGGTTCCGAGGTGAGGTTGTCCGTCAGCTTGGTAAGCAATCCATCTATTAAAAGGTGAAACTCTGATTTCAAACCATAGTACCGTCAGTTGAGATGGTTTCACTACACCGCCGCAGTTCCGCTCAAACTGATGCGTCCACGTAGTTGGTCATAGAAGGTTTAAATACAGGTGTGATGTGCAATCGGTTCTGCGCAGTCAGAGCTGCATAATAAAGAACAAAAAACAGGTTCCCCTGAACATTGCTAGCTCATAACTAATCTGGCAGCCTGCCACGGTTGTCTGGATACCTTTGCGATCAAACCTCATCAATGACCCAGTTTTTACGCCACAAAATAAATATGTGTGTGTGTGTTTGTGTGTGTGGGGTGGGTGGGTGTATGTGTGGTTATTTGTGTGGGTGTGTGTGGGTGGGCGTGAAATGAATATGAAATATCTAGAGGATTTAATTGGATTTAATTTGAGTTCACTTTTGGCTTCGTCGACATAACTCCATGGTAACGATGAAGCCAGTGCTCTTCGAAATAAACAACAATTCGACATCAGCGTTCAAACTTCGCATGTGATTAAAAACTTTAAATAAATCGCAAAAATTATTACTTTCGATTTTTTTTTGTTAAAATTTTATTAGTTTAATTTTAAAAATATGTCCTACAGAGATATGAGAAGTTTGTATTGTAATATTTTTTTATCATTTTTTTTGTATTCTAATTCTATTTTTAAAATATTTTAATTTATTGTTTATTCAATTAATTTTTAAAAACCTATGATGTTAAATCATAAATGTAAATCAGTAAAATGTTTTTTATTAATTATTTTTATTTTAATGAACAGTGAGTTAGAGTAGTTGTTATAGTTATACTAGTGTTATTCATTTATTGGTTGTTGAAAGTTAAACATTCGTCAAACAGAAAATGTTTATTTCATTTTTTATATCTGCATTACAAATATAACTTATAATTTTGTTTGTTATCAATCAGCTGTTACCAATATAACCAATAACCAATTAACCAATTATAACCAATTAACCAAGATAACCAATTATTTTGTTAAGCAAGAAAAGAAACATTGAATTGAATAAATACTGAGAATTTATAAGTGTGCATTGTTTTGCAATAATTACAAAATAATTTCATACAAACTAGATAATTTTTCAATCGTTTTTTTTAAATTTTCAAAAAGATTTCACAGAGATGATGAGAGCATTGGGTTACAAACGTCTGATCTCAATGGAAAACTTCAAGAAACCTGTTTTCCCACTGATGGCTGATATAATGACATGGCTAGCTCTAAGGTTATTTATAACATTCGAATTAAAATGATTTAATTTTTAGATTCTTGAAGTTGGAGAATTAATTTTATAGTATTTTGTATTCTTGTATTTTATTTCTTATTAGTATCATTTAGTTCAGTTTTTTGATCCTATCAAATCTATTTGCCCAGCTTTAATTCACCTAATGTCCGTTATGGTTATCATTAATAAAAAAATGTTGATAAAAATTTTATGATTGCTTTTGGTGTTTTATAATTATTTTTGAATAATTTATTAGTTTATTTTTAGATAATAAAGTTAAATAATTTGAATAAATGTTTCCAAAGATTTGAACCAAATGCAGACATCCCAAGAGACATAGAGAGTCAGCAAGACAGAATCATCTTCATCAAATATATCACCGAATTCATGGTTTAATTCACATTTTCAGTTTCATTCATCATTCACCAACATTTTTTTCAACTTTCTTTCCATATTCTCCAACCAGGCGACGAAAGTCAGCACAAAAGTCAATCCCAAAAAACTCTACGAGTCTGATGGCTACTCGGTGAAGGAGATGATCAAAGTCAGTCAGATATTGTACCAAGCCATGCTAAGCAGTGCTGATGGTGATGGTGCTAATGGTGATGGTCATGATGACGATGATGATGGTATTACCGCTCTGAGTGTTATGTCTGATCTGTCATCGAAAGTGCGTTGTTCTTCTCGTTGGTGTTGTTGTTTTTGATGTTGTTGTTGTTGGTGATGATGTTGTTGATGATGTTGTTGTTGATGTTGTTGTTAATGTTGTTGTTGTTGATGTTGTTGTTGGTGATGTTATTGTTGTCGTTGTTGTTGTTTTTGGTGTTGTTATTGATGTTGTCGTTGTTTTTGTTGTTGTTGCTGTTGATGCTATTTATATTGTTAATGTTTTGGATGTTGTTGTTAGTAGTAATTTTCATTAACAATATCCTCATCACAATCACCTCGCCTTCGCCTCAATAATGATAGATGGAATAATTTAATTTGCACCTTCCTCCATCCAACCGATCGCTCCACCTTCCAACTGAATTCATCCCAACGGCCCAACAACAACATCAACAATAAACAATGAAATTTCTGAGAATTTAAAAAAATCCACCCGAACAAACTTACCTATGAATAAACCAAATGAACACCAACACATCGTCATTCAATACTTGCAATCATGTTAGAATATCAACTCGACAACATACACAACAACAATATAATAAACAACAACAATGGTGACAAAAAAAAACCACAACGAAACGAAACATTGCAGGCAGACGAGTTGAAGGAAGCGCGATTGATGACGAGCGAGCTGATAAGGAAGGGGGCCCTACTTCACGATCTGCTCGCTAAGGAGGTTGATCTTAAGGTAAAGATGATGAGAATGATGATGAAGATGATGATGAAGATGATGGTGGTGATGATTATGTTAACGATATGACGATGATTATGATGACGATGTGATGACAATGGTAATTTTAATTATTACCGAACTGTGCGCGGTTGTACCAATGGCGATGGAAGGTTTTGATGATTGCGATGAAAGTGAGTAAAAACGAAGCTGACGACAATTGAAAGCTTTCTTACGTATTGTTTCAATCACGTCAGAGCATATGCTTATGCCTTGTTGTGTGCAAATATCAGAAATAAGAATATTAACTGATATCGTTGCAAATTCAAGATATAAAATGTACGTTGATTTCTGCAGCTGGCTCGTTTGAACGCCCTGTCGAAGCAGCTGGAGCTGGGTGACGTGGAGAGGCTGCTGGCTGAAAGCGAGAAAAGCGTCCAAGTAAGTCAACTGTAGCTGGCTCGATTCGTCATTTCTTGTATTACTTTTGACAAATGTGTTTATTTGAGCATTGGTAGCATAGTGCGGTGGTTAATTATTAGTTGTGAAATTTCGACGACCATTTGGAAGATTTTTTCACTCATTCAACATTCAAGTCGCCCATTCAAACAGAACAGCCAACAGCCAAATAATTTTTTTTTCATCGATATATCTCCAGCATCATTTAATAACTTACAACAGACGGAGTTGGCAAAGATAATGTCGTTGATCGAAAGCATCGCATCCGATGAAGCCAATCTGGAAGCGAAGATAGAGAAGAAGAGGGCGGAGTTGGAAAGGAACAAAAAGAGATATGAATCGTTGCAGGGAGTGAGGTCAGAGAAATGAATAATTATTTTTTCGTTCGCTCGTTCATTTGTCCGGCTGATCATTCACTCATTTTTTATACCTTTTTTACCCTACCTTTCAAACATTCATCCATTTCCATTTATTTCTTTCTGTGACACGATGACAGACCATTCACTACAGATGGATTTTGCTGGACTGATCATTCATTCTTTCTTTCATTCTTTTTTAACCTTACCTTTTAAACAATTGTCCATTTCTATTTAATTCTTTCCATCTCACACGACCACAGACCAGCCTACATGGACGAGTTTGAGAGATGTGAAGAGGAGCTGCAGCAGATGTTCAGCGAGTACTTGGACAAGCAGAAGAACTCCTCATTCCTCGAACTCATCTACGAGAAGTACAACAAAATTGAACAAGACTTCTCTGCGGTTAGATCATCACATAATTGGGTTAACTCAGTTAACGTTGTAACCGGTGTGTCGGAGTCGGATAAAAAATATCCGACTCCGGTCCCTCAAAAAATCCGTTTCCGATTCCAGATAATAATATTTGACTCCAGTCCCTAAAAAATAAGTCTCCGATTCCAAATCCGGGCTTAAAAAATTCCAACTCCGACAAAAATCTTCAACTCTGACCGACTCCGACATTCTGGTTGTAACGCTCATTACAACACATTCAATTTGTTTAATTTTCATATTCAATTATTAACTTTGTTGAAATGTAATCGAGCTGGATAAACTTAAAGTTTTTTCCCAAATATCCTGACAACTTTCATTTATCTGGAGTTGTTAAATAAAAACTCATTTTGTATATACATAATAATCCCACTGCTATTCAGACTCTTGAAATTCAGTTGAAGAAGGCCATGGTTCAAAACCACGACAGACCTGGCGTCAACATTCTACAAGGTCCATCATTATCTTCATCATCATCATATCATCATTCTCATATTATCATTGTTTTTTTTATCGTCATTGTTGTCATCACTTTATAATCGTTGCTTGTCATCCGTCTTTTTATATTAGCATTATTTTTATTACTGCCATTTGTTTTATTGTTAATAATGTTTTAATCACCTATTATAATTTATAAACTTTTACATCATCTGGACGCTAAACGAAGATTGATTGATTGACATCATCATCTTGGCTGCCGCCATTGTTTTGCCATTATTATAAAGCATCTTTGGCACCATTGTTATTCTCGTTGTTATTATCTTTTATTTGTTTATCGTATTTATTGCCTTTATCCCCAGCATTGTCACAATCTTCATCTTTATTATCATCTTAACCTTCTTCATCGTCACTATCATAGTCACCTAAAATATCATCATCATCATTATCATCTTTCTCGCAATCATCATCATCACCATCCTTCAAAAGCTGCCGGCAGAAAGTTGTTCAACGGCACGAGCAAGGCTGGCCACGGAAATGAAGATGATGAAGACGACGATGAAGAAGATGACGATGAAGACGACGAGGACGAAGATGACGACATTGACGATGAAGAACTGATGGGCAGAATGAATGGAAACAGAAATGGAACAGGTTGGTTGAGAGGTAAAATAAACAAGTCAATGAGTCATTCGATCCATCAATGATCCTATGTTCAACTATTTAAAGTACTTAAAATGCAGTCTTGTCACTTTTTGAATTTTCTCTTCAGATGTAACTATTTTTATCAAGTTTAATGTTATCTACCCAGTTTTTTATGAGTTTTTCAACTTTCCCATTCCAGTTTTTTTTCCTCTGTAGTACAATCCAAATTAACTTGTCATTCTGTATATTTAAGAAATTCCGATTTTCTTACTTTACCTCCCATGCATACTTTACTGTTTTTTGACTTTATGACTTCGTTTTGGTTTTGTTGAAGGACGTCGTAACCATCGATCGTCATCATTTTCAACGTCTATTAGCAGTAATCGTCACAACGAATCAGTCATCAGACCATCTTCATTGTTGATTCGATCGCACAGATCCATTCAGCAAGAGAATCAAATCGTCGTATCATGGCCGGGGACAGAAATCCATCGTCCCGAAGAACAAGATGATACCAGATGACGACGATGACGATGACGACGAACTGGTGAGTCAAATGTTTTTTTGTTGCTTCTTTAAAAGGTATTTTTGAATTCAAACATTCGCAAAACATATAGTCACGGTTGAAACTAACGTTTCATGGTTAATCTAAGTTAATCAACACTTGAACTAATTAAAAAACAATGTATATTTATTTTGGCTATGAAATATATTAAACTTTTAGCTTAAATAGGCTAATCCTAATTTTAATCAGAATAATCTCACTTACCATTAATTAATACATAATTAATACACCAGAAACTGTCCAACGGTGACGACGACGATGAAGATGACTTAAAGCTTGACCAAGAAGATGAGGACGATGACGACGAAGAGGATTTTAATTTGGCAAGGAAGGATGGATATCGAGGGAAGGGCAACAAGCCCATGGGCGCCAGGGGAGTGAGGAGTGGCGGGGTGAGAGCGCCGGTCAGAAAAGAAAGTGACGATGATGACTTTTGAAGATCTTTAAGCTAACTTTATTGTACGAAAACTCTACGAATAGCTCTGCATATGTTTGACTTTGCTTGAATTTACAATTGTTTTATTATGAAAATTATGTGACAATACCCTTAAATTGTTTTCAATTGAATTTTACTCATTTCTTGTGTACATAACAGGTAATTTTTTATGTCATTTTAAAGTATTTCTATTTTTGCCAATCAACTTCTATCGATGATAATAAATTTCTTGTGAAATTTTCAGTGCAGCTGTTTTTTGTGTGATCTAATCTCTAATGATTTCAAACAATAAGGACATGACATCGAAACCATACACACAGCTGATATAAGTATATAGGCCTTTATATGCTGCTAAGCAATACGTAGAATAATGCAAATTACTGTTCACCGGAGTGTCGGAGTTGGAGATTTTTGCCGGAATCGAAGTCAAAATTTTTGTCGGAATCGGAGTCGGAATTTTTGATAGCCTGGAGTTGGAATCAGATTTTTGTAGGGGTCGAAGTCCGGAAAATGTTATTTATTTAAAAAAAATTCTATTATTTTTTCCTGAAAATTTTTATTAAGATTGTGTTTTTTAGAAGATATATATGTATATAGCGATAAGTAATCATTTCATTTTCAACATGGATTTACAGTAATACTCCTTTCCAACAACCTCCCCATTTATGATTCTCTTTTCTTTCTCTCTCTCTTATTCCCGACCGCGTTGTTTTTGACCGATTGGTTTTACATTAAGCATAACTCTCTATATGCTTTTTCACCATTTAAGACACCTTCCTTTTAAGACCTGATTTCTATGACATTTTCACAGTTGTTAATACAGGGAGTATTAAAATTCAAGGTTAAATTAAAATGCAATAAATGAAAAATTTTTTAGAATTCGAAACCCGGAGTCGGGAGTCTGAGCCGGAAATTTTTACCTGGAGTCGGATTTTAAAATATTCGGATAAAAAATATCCGACACCGACATCTAATCTAAAAACGTTACTTCATCTTTGAAAATTTGATTTAAGATTTACATTTACACCTTTCTTACATGTGTTCCCAAAATTTTGCATGCTCCGAGTGTAAAGGAGAGTTTACCTATTTATTTAAATTTTAACTTATTAATTGTTTGTATTGTTTTATTTTGTCGCGGGCCAACTGCGAACGATTTGTTACCGTTTTTTCTCGTCTCGCAGGTTGTTTTCAAATCACAAGCAGTCGTCAGGTCAAATATAAAAAAAATAAATTATAAATAATTATAATTTAATAGTATTTGAATAATTATTAATTATATATATCACATTATTTACCCAGTTAATTGTTAATTTCATGGTAAAAATGAAATTTTTAATTTTTATATTGATTATTTTATAAGAATATAATTTATTTTATATATTAAATAATTTTTATTCCTATTAAGTATTAATCTATTTATAATATATTAATTATTATAAGCAACCTGCTAATAAGTTGCTTATGGTAATCTCGGAGACGGCAAAGTGGTTTTTCCAGAAATATTTATTTATAGTCAACAGTTTAAAGAGACTCATAAGCTCCACCTACGGTGCAACCAATAAACTAAATACAGCCTGCATGTTCGTTGGTTAGCGACAGTATAATGTAAACAGCCGAAATACTAAAAAAAGAAAAACTGTTTTTTGAGTAATTATTTTTAAAATGTTATTGAATTTTAAAAAAATAAATAAAATGTAAAAGGCTTGACAATGAAATCTACCCTTAAACGATTTTGAATCAAAATATAACCTGAATTTTATGCTTTGTACCATATAATTAGAATAAATATAACGGCCTTCGCTCATTTTTGACGGTCGAACAAGGAGCTTACTTCCGGAGGAAAATTGGAGGGTGATTTTTTTATCGCCCAGGTCAAAAGTTACGATCGTATATTTACTAATTTCGGAATATTGCTTTTATTTAAAATTTCAAAATGTTTTAAAAGGTGATACTAGATGCTGTTTTGGGATAGATATTGCTGTATGATGGTTAAGTATCTTTTTGCATTTTAAATAAAAAAAATTTTTTGTGAACCACCAACAACACTAAACGATGACTAATTAGTAATTAAATTACTAAACTCTAATAATGAAACTAAAACTAATCTCTACTGATTCTAATTACTAATTGAAATAAATAACAGATAACACTAACAAACATTAACAGATTAGACTACTAGAAACTACCAACCACTACACTAATACATACTACTACTACTTTAATGACTAACAACACTTGTTCCTAAGATCCTAAATTCTATTGCTTGATTGGTTTTAAAATTTTTATTTACAATGCTTAGGTCTGGGAATAAAAAATATACTAAATTAAATAAATATATTAAACAATTTATCAATCAATTTTATAAAATAAACAATTTTGTAATTTGTTCAATTCAAGCTTCAAACTCCCCAAACTAACTTGCAATTTAATTAAAATTTATTAATTATGAGTGATTCAAACTAAATTTTTTTTTATTTAATGCTTACAAAATATTCCTCATTCTTAAATTGTAGTACATGTTGTTATTAAATTTATTAAAGATAATGTGTGATTCCAGTGATTCATCAATCCATGACTTGTTAGATCATGATCATTCAGTTTTAAAGAATCCCCATCACCATAACCAATGAGGTTTGTAGAAATTGTACTTTTAATTTATTATATTTTATGCACTTAGAATGTTGTGTTATTAATTATTATCATTAATTTATTAAATGCTCTGCATACCTATAGCAAGTAAATAAAATAATTAAGCATAGAAATAGCCACAATCAAATTAATTTATATAGGCATGAGTATAATTTGGATAATAATAATTAAAAATATTGGTATCATTGAAAATGGATAAAGTCATAAATAAAAAAATAAATCATAAATTGCTAAAAATAATAGTTCCAGTAAGATTTTGCCTTACACCTACATCTTTTTTTCATTCTTATATTATAATAAATGTTTGTTATCAAATATATCAAGGATTGATTTCTCAATCCATGACTAGATTGAATGTCATGGCCCTACAGTTCCAGA